AAGTTCATCTGGGTCTTCCTCTTTTTTTCTTTTTTTTTTTTGTGGAATGTGTTCCATTGACATTTTCGGGAGTCTCTCATCACTCATTCTTTTCACATGTCCAAACCAAATAAGTTGTTTCCTCTTTATTTTTTCCAAAACTGTCTCCTTCAATCCCATTAGGTCTTTGATTCTCTCATTAGTTATTTTTTCTCTTTTTGATATTTTGCACAATTATCTTGGAATATAAATTCATCAAGATGGAAGAGATACATTAGAAATTAATACAAGATTAGTACAAGGTAAGAGAGCAATTAAAAGATTAAATGGAATATGGTGGAATGAAGAAATAACTAGAACAAGAGAAAAAAGAATATATAATGCTATTGTTAAAAGCATTCTATTATATGGGGCGGAAGCATGGAGAATGGCTGGGAAAGAGAAGAGAAAAGTAACAACAACCATTTCCAACAGAAAATAAAGAAAATGAGCAACACATCAATACAGAATTGCAATATGAATTATTAAATTCATCCAGTACAGAAGAAAATGAACAAAGATTGATTATTTTTGAAGATAAAAGAAAGGAAAAGTCATCATTGCTTGTAGACAAACTAAGCATACCATCAAGTTCAACACCTTCAAGATTGTGAGAAAATGTTAGAAAAGTTCTTAAGAATTTTGAAGCGGGTCTGGAATCAATGTCTGAGAACCAACTAGAAGTAGTAGATAAAGCCCTAAAATCTTTGGGTCCACAGCTTTCAGCTGTTGATGCAAAAGACAAGTCTTGTTTTGTTTCAGCCCATTCAGTGCCAGGTAACAAAAAGGAATGATCTTAAGAAAAGAACTCTCTTCAAGACAAAGAAAGATGTAAAAAGAAAATATCAGAAATTAAGCACCAGCTTAGAGGAAATAGAGAAAACTGCTGCTAAAATAATTGTGAATGCTAAAACATCAATGTAAAAAACTTTTGTTCGTTTTGTAAATTAAAATTTTATATATTTGGTATTTCTATAATGCATTCTTCTTAACATGTTTTTAAATCTTTTGTATTTTAAAAGTTTGTGGTCATTTTAAAAAAAGTTTATTTTTAAAATACAGATTACCCAAAACAGGGTTTGTAATCAAGAAATAAAGTATTATCTGAAAAAAGCATTCCTTACATTCTAAGTTACATTACTTTTTTATCAGTTTTATGATTTAGGATTCTTGGAACATCTTATAAAAAGCAAAGAATTGAAATGTTTTTATGAATAGCATACAGTGAATTAAAATTTATCTTTAATTATGGATATAAAATTCATTGATTTTAGAAGATTCAATGCCATTTGTCTTAAGTCTATAGACTTATCTAGAGAAGTCTATAGATTGAATGAAGCAGATTCACAACACACCAGGTCTTTAATGCAGATGAGACAAGTCTTTGGTGGAAAAACTGCCCAAGAGAACATTTATTTTAAAAAACTGCTGCATTAGGTTTTAAAATATCAAAAGAATGTGTAACATTACGTATATGTAGTAATGCGTCAGGAGATCACATGTTAAACCCATGATAGTTTATAAATCCCTCATTCATCGAGTAATGAAAAATCTAAATAAGAGTGCCTTACCTGTATATTGTTACCACAAATAGAATAGCTTGAATAACTGATGATTTATTTAAGAAATGGTTTCTAAACTATTTTGTAACAAATATAGAAAACTATTTAAAGGAAAAAAAAAATCTGGATTTCAAAGTTTTATTAATATTGGAGAATGCATCAAGCCACTTAAAAAGTTTAAATTACCCAAATGTTGAAATAATATTTTACCACCGAATACAACTTCTTTACTTCAGCAATTAGATCAGGGAATCATAGCCACATTTAAAACTCATTACATCAACCACTCATTTCAATGGATTGTGAATAAAATAGACAACAAATCCACCAAAGTCATACAGGCATGCAAGCTGTTCGCAATTTTGGACTGTATTAATCTCATCTTTGTCTATCAAAGAAATAAAATCAACATTAAATGCTTGTTGGAGGAATTTATGGGCAGAGTCAGTTCAAAGCTCTAATGTAATTGATCCAGCAGAAAACGGAACTGAAGCATTACTAAAACATGCTAAATCTGTGGGAGGGGAAGGTTTTGATGACATAAATCATGAAGATATCCAAGAACCAATGGAAGAAGGGATCGATGAAGCAAATTTGGTTAAAATGGTATCTGAGATTGGTCAAATTAATTCAAAGGATGGTAGCACAGATGAAAATCCTGAAGTTCAAAATTTTACCCTAAAAAGCATATAAGAAGGGATAAATTTGGCCAAACAATTTGAACGTTACTATCTAAATACAGATCCTACCACTGAAAGAAGCGTAAGGTTCAAGAGAGAACTTTAGAAATGCATGGCTCCATATAATGGAATTTATAAAGATCTTTTAGAAAAAAGCAAACAAATGAAAATATCAGATTTTATGAAAAAAATTTTAAAAAATGAAGATGTTGCTGATCAAGATAAACAAAAAATCTTAGATGACAATGATAGTTTATCTGATGATGTCTATTTCATATAGATGAAAACTTTAGTAAATTTTTCTTTTCCTAGTGCTGGTGTTGGTTTTGTGAGTGGTGTATATATAATTTTAAAATTCAAAACAAGCCATTTCCATTGAAATTCAAACAAATTAGTTAGTTTTACATTTTTAAAGTTTTTTTACATATTCAGCTGCTGGATTCAGTTTGGTGGCTAGGTCACTGTTATACCAACTCTAGTCAATGTCAAAAAAATGAGTGTTCATCGTTTCTTTAAGGTACTGTATCTCAATAAAGTTTATGCATGCATAACACAAGTTTATTTGTTTATTTCTTATCTCGAGTTATCTCAGGATAAGTCCTTAACGGGTTACATATCCAAACAAGATAAAACAGTGGAGAACTGAAAGAAAATTTGGCATTTGCCATTTGATGATAAACCATTGATTTTTTGTAAGTTTGCTTAATACAAACCTTAATACAAAGTGCCAATTTTTAATCCTTTTGACTTTGTATTAAAGGATTTGACTGTGTATGAAAATCATCACCATTTTGGTCTTTTAAATTAAAAATGTTTTAACACAAGTTAAATATCATATAAAGATATAATATTTATAATAAATTTATCATAAAAAAATAAATTGAAAATATGTATATTGTTATTCAATACAATATTAGACAATACTTGTAAAAACTTGGTTTTTATTTACAAGTGCTTTTATCACTTATTTTCAGCTGAATTTCTTTGTAACTGTATAAAAATTTGAATAAAATGTTGCCAAAATTGCTAAATTCTTTGAAGTATTTTATCAGTGTGAACATCAGTTTTTGGTAGTTTTATAAAGTATTTTGTTTGATAGCCAATATAATTTATTTGATGTGGAAACTATTACAGGAATCTTTCATTATGTACTGAAACCAGATGTGCTGTAGAAATAATGTCGTTATTTTATGCTATGATGTGATATATCAGTATTGATTTTTTAAAGTTATTTTTAAATGTTAAATTTATGCATTTTCATGTTATAAACAGTATTTTTTTAAATCAATAAATAAATTTAATTTTAATATTTATTCAAATTATATTTGAACCTATTTAAAGTGAGAATTAAAGAATTGGAACACTTTTAAAGTTAAATTTATTAATTATTGTCTAGAAGCTATAACACAGTGCTTTCCTGTTAATTCAAATTTAAATAATCAAACAGCATTACATTTAAAGCTATAAACCAACCAAAGCTGAATATTATTGGGCTAGAAATGGCTATAATACTAATATAATACTTTATCAAGAGATGGCACCTAATGCCTAACTCTAATGCCAAATTGTCTTTTAAATTATTAGTATTATAGTTGTTTCTAGCCCAATAATATTTGGTTTTGGTTGGTGTATAGCATTGTTTCTCAACCTCTAACGAATCGTCGCCCCCTTCAACGTAGTATTGCCCCCTTCACTACAAAATTCCAATTCCGAGGGACAAGGCTAACTCCAATTTCGTACTGCATTGAATAGACTATTGACTAGTATAATGTTATTTGTTTAATTACTGTACGATACAGCGAATAAAATATCTAATTCTTCTTAATATAATGTTTTACTATATCGCCCAGAAAATTGTTTTTTGCCCCCCAAAATATAAATTGTTGCTAATCGCCCCCTGAACATGGAAAAACGCCCACATGGAGCAATATCACCCCCATTGAGAAACACTGGTGTATAGCTTTAATTCAAACTTATTATGTGTGTTTGATTGGATTATTAGGGTTGTACTTAAAGAAAAGTAAGTAAGGTAAAGTACTACAGATAAATTTGACTTGTTTTTTTAAAAATTAATCCACAATTCTTTTTGTTTTTGGCTGGAATGCTTAGGAGAAAAATGAATGAAATTTATTTGAATTAATGTGTGTGTGTGTGTGTGCAGTATTTTACTTTTTTTTGTACAGAAAGAGATAAAAAATGGCAAGAATTATATCAAAACATTTTTGGCACAAACTTGAAATTTTAAGGAAATTTTTTCATTTTTTAAGATTATATATATATTGAGGAAATGTTTATTGTGAGAGGCTTTTTATGCATTTGAATATTAATATAGCTCCCATATTCAAACAAACAGAAGGATTGATGTATTACTTTTGTCAACTTGTTTGAAAAGTTATTGTATTCTCTAAAATAATTTGCTGAACTCTGTTGGAATGTGTTGTTGCTTTGTTATTAAGATGGGATTTCTCTCTAATATTATAGATGTATTTTTATGCTAATCTTTGTATGAGTCTTCTTGAGTATCCGTATATTACTGGTATATTATCAGGTGTTTTGAGTTTTTTTATCTTGTCTATTGTATTGGTACAATGTGTGAATGCCCTTCTTACTAAAGCTCGGAAGGCAGCAAAATGTAGCCATAACACACGGATACTCAAGAAGACCGTGTGTAATCTTGAATTCTTGATGATGTACTCCAGTAATATCAATAAAGTAAAATTTGTTTAAAATTTTTGAATAGACTCAACAGTGGCTTCAAGGAGCATTGAACAGCATGACTACATCCGTAATTGATGAAATGATAAAATGCCTTCAAGAATTAAAAAAATGTCTTGCTATTTTAGATAATGGAACTGCTAATGATGAAACTTACTCAACTATCAAAATGTCTGTGAAAGCTCTAATTGATTATACGGGATCATTAGATTATGCCCAGGGTAATTTTTTTTATGTAAATGTATTTTGGCTTTGTATAATACTTATGTTTAACTTTCTGCAACATTTACTTCTTTGTAACTACTACTTTACTTTTGTAGATTTCCATAAAATTGGTGGATTTGATGTATTGAAACCACTTTTGGCGGTGTCGGATTCCGAAGTAAGATCGATTATGGCCGAATTCATAGGCGAACTCGTTCAGAATAATCCATATTGTCAAGAAATGTCTTTGTCAATGGGATTTTTGAAACTCTTGTTAGAAAGATTAGAAACTGATACAGATGAGACTGTTAGGATTAAGTGCCTTTATGCATTATCTTGTAAGTAAAGAATTTTATATTTTTAGATAATTATATAAATAATATAGGAAGATTTTAAGTGATTCAAAATTATTTGAAAGTCAATAAAAAAAATTCATGTAGATGACAATCCAAATTATTATAATCAAATAGTAATGCTGGATTACTGTAGTAATATAATTGAAGTAATTGTTACATTTAATAAACAATAAAGTCATAATTGCTTGCAGTTAATCTAAATATGTTGTATTTAATGTATTAATTAGCCATTCCAAGTCCTAATCCAGAAGTTAATTCTGGCCAAGAACCTGACTAAGCAATATCACTTTGTTAATAAAAATATGTAATTATATGAATTGATATCGTTATCTCAGGGAAATTTGTTACACACAAGACCAATATTTTTAGATTAAATTACAATAGTTTGTTGTTCTAAATTACTTCAGCAGTACTTTATAATGAAACATGATCATGTTTTATTTGATATTTATGCCATAGAATGCATTTTTGTATTTTATGGCATATAAGTGCAACTTCTATCCAAAGGAAAGCTCAAAAAATAATCCTATATCTTACATGTGAAGTTGCAATCTCCCATAGGCCAATGAATTTTCCAAATAACTTTTGGTAGACTACAGCTGACCTCTGCCTAGCCCAGGGGTGGCCAACAGTTTTTGCCCCCAGACCAAATTGGAAAGAGAACTTTTTCCATGGGCCAAACCTGAGGCTGCCCTAGGAAGATTTTGAAGTGGTGCGAGATCTCATTGTGGTGTCACTCCGTAGAGACTGAATTGTAGATAGAGATTACAGATACATTTTCACATTATCATGCTTTATCAACACTCTACGCCAATGTTTCTCAACGGGGGCGATATCACCCCATGTGGGCATTTGTCCATGTTCAGGGGGCAATTAGTAACAATTTATATTTTGGGGGCGAAAAAACAATTTTCTGGGCGATATAGTAAAACATTATATTAAGAATAATTAGATATTTTATTTGTTATATCGTACAATAATTAAACAAATAACATTATATAGTCACTAGTCTATTCGATGCAGTATGAATTTGGCGTTAGCCTTGTCCCTCAGCATCGGAATTTTGTAGTGAAGGGGGCGATACTACGTAACAGTTTTGTTGAAGGGGGCGACGATTTGTTAGAGGTTGAGAAACACTGCTCTACGCTATATTTTCGAGACATGTAATGAATGGAGGGTTAACTCTAAATGCAGTGAGTTGTTGACCTTTTTTTATTTTTTTTAGGCATCGGAATTTTTTATCGAGCTATTCGGACTTCAGTACCTAATATTGAAAGATTGATCACGGACCGCATAAATTCATTAGATGGGCCAGATCTGGCCAGCAGGCCATATGTTGGCCATGACTGACTTAGCCCAACTCTTTAACAAAAGTGTTATTGCTTAATTAAATATATTATTCTTATTATTACTTTTTTAAACCAGGATACAGTGGGGAGAAAAGGACCAACTCCTAAAGGCATGAGATAGCTTAAATATACAGGATGTTTTATAATTAAAGTTTGCATTTCAAAATGATATAATTCAGAAACCAAACAAAATGATGTCATGTTCCACACAGACTTTTGTAATGATCTGAATTTTATTTGAAACAAAAAAGAATGTTTGTTTTAAAAATATATGCTAGAGAGGTAAAAGGCACTGCAATAGTGGATAACCAAAATGTCTCAAAAAGCTATGATACATTTAATACAATGTGTGGTTATGTAACAGCATGCTTGATATGTCAGCCTCTATAACATGAAAATGTGATGACTGTTTACACAACTTTCATGTGACAGTAATTTCATTATATTGCCAACAACAGAGGCATATTGAGCCTCCATTGTCCAAAATAACAATAGTAGTTGTTATCTGTAAAAAAGTTTTCTATATTAAAAATAAGTAACTAATTTAAAATTAAAATGAAACTTCAAAGCTGCTTACCTTTGTCAGATAAAAATATACTCGATTCAATATGTTTTTTTCACTTAATACATGAACACATTCATTGTGTTGGTGACACAAGGATTTGTTTTAAGTTTAAGAGTTGTTGTTTGTCAATTTTTAACAATTCAAAAATTAACTGCAAAGCTACACAAAGTTAGTGTGACATATTTGTAAGCTTCTAAACGAAGAATACAATATCACATTAGCAGTAATATGTTAAATTTCACAGCTATCTTAATTAAACAACATACTTTAGTGATGCAATGAATAGTATATTCGGCCAAACTATTCGGCTTGATTAACGCACGTACAAAAATTGGCATGCAAACCACATTATGGCAAGGACCCTTCTCTCTATTGGCCTACTGTCACTACATTTTGCCAATCGCATTAATTCTTGACTGTTGTAGCGGACAGACAAGAGCGTTGTGGCAGTATGTGATAAATGATGATATCAAATGTGGATAACAATGAAATGACCTACACATGTAAATAATGGAAAAAAGAACAGAGAAGGACCACGAAGTGAAAATGTGAAAATAAATATGAAGTTGAGATGATAACATAATCAAACAAGTCGAGGCAGCTTATTGGCGCGAAATTCACGGCCATCAATGCCAAATAATTGTTCTCATAGATTTCGGCAAGCTAAATGCTTGTAATGAAAGTCACTTAGCATGCACGGGCGAAAGCCTGGGCCATTCGGGCTACCAAGCTGTCTTGAATCTGTGAAATCATAACTGTGACTTATACCGATGTCCTATCTGTCTCTTTTCTCCATTATCACCAGGCTATGAGTCACATAATTGTAAAATTGGAATACGACGGAAAAGTGACGAATCGAAAGTAGTGTGTGCGCATATTATGATGTATGCATAGGTATACGTAGACTAGAGCAATAGAGGAAACAGAACTGGAAGAGCAAATACGAGCACTTAAAAAGAAGGATAGGCCAGGGTCAGACCCGTAGATGTGCAGTGATTCTCAAACGAATAGATGTGTACTTGTACATGTGCTGATCTTTGTAATTATAAATTGTGAATCCATGTGACTAATATTATTTTCTTTTTTATTTTGTGCATGTTATAAGTTATAAATAAATATAAACAAACAACACTAACCCGATAACATTAAATCTAAATACCAAAATGATTAATTTACTGTGTTTTTGTTATTTCTTACTCCTGTTTTTAAGTATTCGGTATTCAGCCAAATAGCGAAAAATAGGCCAAATACCGAATAGTAACCAAATATTCGTTACATCACTAACATACTTACATTGGAAGTCACCCTCAGTATAAAAATAGCAAATTCAACAACACCTTATTTGATCAGAAAAACATACCTAAATTAAGTGAAGACAGCTGTTAAAGCTGCATTAATCAAAACTTTAATTTTGGCTGCATACAGTAGAGCATTGATTATCCGACTCAATTGGAGACTCAGGTTGGTCAGATAACCAAAAAAAATGAAAAAATACATTATTAGTATAGTATATCCCATGTAATTAGTATATTAGTATATCGCTATTAACCTACTTCACATTGAATTTTCATCGATGTTAAGCCTAACAAATTTTTTTAAAAATAATAATTGCTATTGTATCTGTTAAAAATTATTTCTAAATTATTTTATTGCTCACAAAACAAACAACCACTCATAATTAGAAAATTAAGTCTCGTTTAAATACTGGCCTCCCTTCAATGGTCGAGCCAGTGTTGCCAGCTAAAACACACAAAAATTTAACAAAAATAATATTAAAGTAGCCAAGACATAGCCAAATATTGTAGTGCCACATCACTAGCGGACATTTGAAATGTGCCGACTAGAATGGTCGGTTAACCGATGCTTTACTGTATTTAATTTATATATACTGCAATTAATTTTGCTCATTAATCAAGTCTCATGTTAAACAAGGGATACCTGTATAGTCTTAAATGTGAATAACAAGATTTCCTATGCAAATTTGAAAAATTACATTAATAAGATATTTATATTTTGATATTGTCTTTAATAATTAATTTTAAAATTTCATAATAATTTCAAATACATTATTTTTAATGCTATTAATGAGTTTCTATTTTGTTGAATTTCAGTAAAAGTTCTATAGGTTAATTTTGGTAAATATTTATTCTGTACATTATAACAAATTCTTACATTTTGTGTGTGTGTGTGTGTGTGTTTTTTTTTTTGATTAATTGGGCTACAATTTGACAAAATTGTAGACCTATAAATTTCCACTGTTGCTATCCTGCTGTCTGTCTTTCCTAAATCTTAAGAATGGAGTTAGGTAGATGAAAGTCAAGACTAAATATAGAAGGTTTAGGAGCAGAAGGCCCTGATTAACTATATAAGGACTTCTAATGCAAACTGAAAGTTGTGTTATTTCAATTCAAAAAACCGTCATGACTATTATTAAAAAAAAAAAGTATGATGTACAGGGGCAAACCACTACTAATTTGAGATGGAGAGTATATATTTTAAATTAAATAAATTTAAAATATGATTAAAAATTGCAGTCCAGCATTATGACCAGGTTGCAATAAATAATTGCTCGTTCAAATTAAGTATAGGTAACCCCCGTATAGCACGGGAGTTACTAACGTTCCAGAAAATTGCTGTGTTATGTGAATCCATGCTATACGAAACAAAGAACTAGTGCAAAAAGGGGGGTTAGGTTCCAAAAATTAAAAAACATGCTGTTAAATCCTTATTTAAATTGGATTTATTATTCATTTTTTTCATAGGTAAAATATTTAAGTAAATATTTTACCTATGAAAAAAATGCACTCAAAAACTGTTACCAGTTGATGATGCCCATGCTGAGATCATCATATAGGATGAATAATCCTCTGGTAAAATATTTACTTTTTTATTAAATACGCCGCGGATGTCGGAGTCAAAATGATGACGTTCGATAACGAGACAGAACTCGATAAAATTAAATCAATTTTTCCCCGCGCAGAGTAAGTAATTTAATAAATGTATATGTTTTTTTAAATGTATTACTTAAATATTTTACCAGAGGATTATTCATCCTATATGATGATCTCAGCATGGGCATCATCAACTGGTAACAGTTTTTGAGTGCGTTTGTTAATAGTGGTTGCTCTGCAACAAGAGTGCGCTGCTGTTTGTAGGAATTTAGGAACGATGGTGAAAGAAAGATGGTGGCGCCCACACTATCGATAGTATTGTGCTGGAGGAATCTATAATTCTAAAATGAGCTTTTAGAGGCAAAAGAAGTGTCCCAATTGTAAAATTTAACCATTAGATGGATTATTTGTTGAAAGAGCATTCAAAGTAGCCACAAAGCAATTAGAATGCTCGCGCGGAGTTATGCAGAGGTATAAAAGAACGCACCCTTTATTACATTTTATGTTGTACGAGGGTTTTACCCAATTCCCAAACCATGTTAGAGTGAACCCGTGCTATGAAAGCACCGTGTTATACGGGGGATGTTCCCAATTCTCGAACTGTGTTAGAGTGAATCCGTGCTATAGAAGTGCCATGTTATATGGGGGTTACCTGTACTTTTTTTTTAAAACAAACAATACATAATTCAATATTTCATATGATTATTTTCATAGACATTTAATAAATATAACTATTAAAAATATTCTGAGTGAATTTTATTTATATGTAGATCTAATTTTTCATTTAGAAAAAGGTAGAAACCACATACAAATTTAAAGAAAATATTATATGTGAATTTTTTCAATTTAGAAAATTATAACAACAGAATAAACTATTTTAATTTTAGGTTTAATCAGACAAAACAGTGAAGCGTTGAAACAATTTGAAGATGAAGATGGATTTTCTGTGTTACTAAGAACAATGCAGCATCCTGTAGAAAAATTAAGAATGAAATCGGCTTTTCTTTTGATGAATATGTGTCATCAAACACCGAAAATTGGTGGTAAGGGTAATATAATATCCCTTGTAATTTTCATTTCTTTGCATTTTTAAAAGTGACCTTTGTATGTTGAATGCAGATTGCTTTCTGCATTCAACATGCATTGGGCTTATTCATCAAGATATTTGTCTGTTATATAATTAATGTATAAGTAAATTATAATTACTTCAGAAAATTTTATTAATAATGTAGTAAGTTACATCTCAATATTTAATATTGTAGATCAGTTTTTATGTATGAGTACTGATTGTTTTACTTACCTTGGTCAGGTGATGCATGGTACTCTATTAGAACTTTAGAAGTTCAAGAGCCCATTTTTGGTAATACATAGAGACCTTGTCAAAGATTCATCAACAATATGTTCCTTTCACTAAGTAAATAGACTAGTCCCTGCTACTATACATTTTTACATTCAGCTAGGATTCATGAAAGATGCAAGTTGTATTTGCAGTTTTATTCATTTTGTATAATTACTGAAGAATTTAACATTTTATTTCTTCCATTTTTGCTTATTGCTTTATTGAAATATTGTAAAATTATAGAAGTTACTAGAAATACCTAATTTTTAACTTTTTGCTTTCTCTATTAAATATACATTTGGTGATAATAGAAAATTATCAATACTCAGTTATTACTAAAATATTTTTAAAATAAACATATTTTAATGATTAATTCCTTAAATAGTTGGATTATATATTCAATCATTTATTATACAGGGTCCTCCAAAAAGAATGTTACCATTTTAAATTACTGTAATTATGTTAGTTATCCAAGAAGTAATGTACTGTACATCAGTGAATAGAGTAACTGTCTGAATTTCATCTCCCATCTGCATTCAAATGTCTTGTTATCTACTACCTCTAGGAAGTACCGTAAATGAAAATGACTTCCTATAGAGATGTTTTTGTGTTGTGCAGTTTGCAAAGACAGGATCATTGTGCAATGTAGGTAATCTGCAGGATCTGTTAGAATTGTGGCTGCTGTGGGAGGAGTAACAGCAAATGTGTTATAGCAAGCATAGGAAGAATTTGAGTATCAGTCAGATGTGTGCCATGTGATAAGAGATTCACAAGTTGAGAAATTGTAATGGAAAAATGAGAAACTTGAACAGTTTTTTAATGTCCAATGTTTTAATGTACAGTACATTACAACATTCTCAGATAATTCTTAACATAATTATAATTTAAAATGGTAGCATTCTTTTCAGAAGACTCTATACTTTTATTCATAAATCTCTATTAAAATTCAGAGTTCTTATTCAATATAAAAAAACAACTGATTATAATGAATGTCTAAATTTTTATTCACACAGATTTAAACACAGATTTAAAGGAAGTTTTTAAATTTTGTTCAGAATAATATCAAGAAATTACACACATTTTCATTTTCTAAAGTTGCTATTGAATTCATTTCAGTTTTCTGCAAAAAATTGTTTTTGTCATGTTGCATTTAATATTTATTGTATCCTTGAATCATACGCTTTTAAGCTTCAGTATGATTTAGGAACAAGAAATAGTATGTAAAATGCTAATTGTAAGACTAACAAGGATAGTTTTAGTTTTGCAATTCTGAATTCATAGAGGAATCATTATGATTGGTTGGCTGTTAAGAACTTACTGAATCACATATAAATTAAAAAGTTTTGTATAGTTATGCTTAATAATTTATATAAAGAATTATTTATTAAACAGGAAATCTTTTAAATATTCATATTTTCAAAATAAAAAAAATTAAATTTGTTTATAATTAATTTTGTATCTAATCAGTAAATATTTAAAATTTAATTTACAGACACCTTATACAATATGGGGTTTGTAGAACAACTAGCAGCATTGTTGCATACCGAACATTCTCCAAGTCACGAATACGTAGTCGGTGCCTTATTGGCCCTAGTCACAAATAGTGAACAATGTAGAAACGAATGCCAGCGCTCCGACTTGCGACTGAAAGAAGTACTCGAAACAAGAATAAAACTTTTGTCTGGTAAAGAAGAATCCAAAGAAGAATGGGAATATTGTCATCAAATATTGAACTTGGTTTTCTTCCAAGGAAATGATGGATCAGAGAGATGAACAATTATTTGAAAAATTATTCATATTAATTTATTGAAAATATTTTTTTAATATTAGATTTCTTATCTGTTAACAAAACACAAAATTAAATGATTGTTGATTAATTGCTTGATTTAAATATTTTTGATTAAAATAGAATAACAGTCAAAGAAGGAAATCTTTCAAGTGTTTTAATAACGTATCGAGGGATTGATAAAACCATAGGAACTTTTTAATTAAATTTTTTATATTAATTTTATTTCAAAGTGAAAACATTTTGAATTATTGTATGTTGTTTTCAGTTCCCTTTCAACAAAATTACAGAAATAACAATATGACATTTTCTTAAACAAGTGCACAAATGGTTAGACAAAAAATATTTATTAATTTAGAAATAATCAACTAGACCTTTGAATTATTTTACCATTCAAAATGAATCATTAAAAGTTAAATGTTTGTGTATTTCGTTTATTATAATCATCTTCAAATCATGTCTGGAATTCTCTATGCTTTGAAGAAGATTATATTTTAAACACATTTATCTTCTGTTGCTTGATATTCGTCGAAGTAATTGTTGATTTATCTACCGTATCACAAATATAACTGACGATAAAATTATCAGTCTTAATATACATTTAATATTGTTTTTTTTTTTAGTAATTTAAAAATATATCTTCCTTTGTTAAATGGTATTTACTTGAATGAAGAAATCGTTTTTTAGATTGTTAGTCTGTTTTTAATTAATAAAATTGTTTTTAATTTTTTAAAATACTTTTTTTATTGAAATATATGCCATAATTCAGTAAACACTTGAATTAGGTATGATTTCTAAAACCAAATATGTGTCTTATCTTAATATTTTCAAATGTACATATACAGTGTTTAACCTCTGAATAGTGGACATTGTTGTAACCGAGAAGTTTGTCCACTATTTGGAGGTACATGCCAGCGGCCATATTGTATTTTAAACCTAGTCATTATAAAGTGAAGAATGCAATGGATTACAAAAACATCATTTTTGCATTAGGAATGTGAAAATACCAAAAAGTATATGTAGAATATATAATTCTTTTAATTATATATTCTATATATGATTACTTTATATATACAGATATTACTTTTTATCTTTTCAGCTGTAAAAATCACATTTTAATTGAATTCTAGATTGCATAGGATATTTTAAATAAATGGAAGACAAAAATTACGACAAAATGTAAATGTTGATTAATTATTAATTCGTCAAAAATGACCTGAGCGGAAGTAAAGAAAAAGAAAAACGAAACTGTTATTATGAACAGAAGGGTTTAGATAATGAGAGTTTGAATGTTGCGTTACAAAGGCAATTTGCTAGCCACCTCAAAAGGTAAGAAATTTATTCGATATTCTTGCATTTATAACATCATTTATGATATAAGCGACTAATAAAAATTGATATTATGATTTGTCTGCTTTGTAGTTATCAAGTAAATGTAATTTTTCAAATATTTTTGCTTTTTTCAATAAATAATTTATTAAAAATTATTTTAGTCACCAAAAAGCTGTTAAGATCATAAATTATGTCATAAATTTGAGAAAACCGAATATCTTCCTACATTTTAAAGTAGTTGAAAAATTGCCTTCGTAACACGATCTTTTAACTTTCACCAAATAAATGCTGTTGTCTTAACCTTAAAACTGTTTCTTTTTCATTACTACTGTACTACAATTCTTGTCAAATAAATGAATAACTCAGGAAAAGTTTATGGTTACTTGGTACTTACCATACTTAATTCTAACAATAAGAAGGAAGTTTAATAACATTAATATGTATGACAATAAATGGTGATTGATAACATAACCAGATTAATCTTCTCTAACAGATAAAGAATGTTGTTTGGCTTTTTACAACCTCCCTCCTCTCTTATTCCTATTTTTATCCAATCTTTGACTGTAGGTGTCAAATTGTCTACGGTTAAAATTATTTCTCTGAAAGATTATTTGAACCATTTTTTTTTAAATATTTCATACGTAATTAATTATTTTGGAATATTGAAAGCAGGACTTTGTATGGGACTAAGGTAGTTTATGGATGACTGCTTCTGTTATTTAGAGTGTGTCTGCTATTTGAGAGTGTCTATTAATGGATGTTTCACTTTATATATATACCGTGTTTCCCCGAAATAAGACATCCGCAGAAAATAAGACCTAGCCCAGATTTTGCTGAATTGCGAAATATAAGACCTACCCCTGAAAGTAAGACCTAGCGAAGTTTTTTTTTAGTCATAACGGTCATCGACAGGTGGTTGAAAGTGACCGTTGGCTTTTTGAAAGTACAGCCACTAATTGGTCAGCAGACAATTACGCCACACGGCATGATTTGCATAAGACTATGNGAACGTTTTTGTAAAGAAAATTGACCTTAGTACAATTTTTGAGGATACAGGTTTACAAAACTGCTATAAAATTTCCTGGAAAATTGCAATAAATTGTGATTTTTTTCTATATGACCTTTAAAGGTCAATTTATTGTCAAAGACAACTCCCTAATCACTATATGAATTTACATAATTTAAAACATGATTATAAATGTAAAGATGCAGAAGTGGCAGATCTCTGATCAGAGAGAAACACATGATGACCGTTTTACGTATATATTAATTCTTTAGCTTTTAGTAAAGTAAATTTAAGACAGAATTTTAAGGTCAGTTTGTAAAATGTTAAAATACAGTCTTAAATTGTGACCCTAATTTAATTAATTAATTAATTAATTATTTATGTTATAGGATTTTATAAATTTATTTATTTACTTTTTGTAATTTATTTAATGCTTGAATGTAATGGTATTCTGTAAATATATTTGTTCCATTGCAATTTTAAAGAGTTTCTGCTGAAGATGTTCTCATAAAAGAACAAAAACGTTTCTGATTAAAAACAATTTGTTTAGTTCCTGAAAATAGCATTTTATTTATTTATTCAAATATATATATATATATTTAAAATTGCAATGGAACAAATATATTTACAGAATACCATTACATTCAAGCATTAAATAAATTACAAAAAGTAAATAAATAAATTTATAAAATCCTATAACATAAATAATTAATTAATTAATTAAATTAGGGTCACAATTTAAGACTGTATTTTAACATTTTACAAACTGACCTTAAAATTCTGTCTTAAATTTACTTTACTAAAAGCTAAAGAATTAATATATACGTAAAACGGTCATCATGTGTTTCTCTCTGATCAGAGATCTGCCACTTCTGCATCTTTACATTTATAATCATGTTTTAAATTATGTAAATTCATATAGTGATTAGGGAGTTGTCTTTGACAATAAATTGACCTTTAAAGGTCATATAGAAAAAAATCACAATTTATTGCAATTTTCCAGGAAATTTTATAGCAGTTTTGTAAACCTGTATCCTCAAAAATTGTACTAAGGTCAATTTTCTTTACAAAAACGTTCAGTCTTTCATAGATTACTGCTCACCAATCAGCCCCTTTTTTATTACACAAAGTATATTTCCTTAATAACTTTGTTTATTTCCTTTTAAACAAATTTTGGCATTATTAGTGTACGGAAGATGGCAACGTCACAAGAATCAGACTGGGACTAATTGGCAATTAAAGCATTAAGATCTGTCAATTTCTCATAAACAGTCTTGTAGTAAATGTCCGTTGGAACCGATTGTGAACAATTTCAATCTTATTATGGTATTGTTAATTTCGTAAATTTGTGTGTGACTTCGAGTTTGAAATGTCGTATGTATGAGGAAGGAAGGGATAAATTTGGGACTTTTAGATGTCAAATTCGTTTTGCAATTGAGAGTGCAGAGCAATTGATATAAGTAATCTTTTAAGGTCTATTCTCTCCATTATGAGCCACATATTGTCTTTGTTCCATAATTTTGAGTTTAAAACTTCTAAATGTTATATAACATTGCTTGTTTTGTTACTTAAAAACTTATATGAAGCAGACCAGAAATTGTCACAAAAATAAAGCTATGTCAAGACTCTTTTAATTTGTTTTTATTTAGGATTTCTTAGGTGCAATAAATATATATTCTTAATTCAATTATAGCTTAAAATGAAATTAATAACAGATTGGTGCTTAAACTAAGATGTAGGAACACATCCATCTTATTAACAGATTCACTTATTAATTTAGTTTTGTAGAGGAAATAACATGTTTTTTATTCAAACTTTAAAAACTTTTAACAAGTCTCTATTGTTCATGCAGATTTTCTTCTATTAGAATGCAAGATTATAAAACATATTTTGCTGCAATTGATGTTTATGATTTAATAGTAAATTTATATAATTGCTCATGTTATTGTCTGAATTGATATCCTGGTGATAAAATAATTTCTTAAGCAGATATAATTAGGAAAGAGGCTTTGCTAACAATTCATAATTTAATTTTATTATAGACAGCATGGTCACAACTTTAAAATTTCAACAGGGTTATAATAACTGTTTTATAAATAATTATATCTCTGCATAAAGTATATATACAGCACAGGTAAACTTTCTTCTGAACGATTCCGACAATAGATTGCCGGCGCGACTTAATTGTCTTCCCCCGAATCCTGGTCTTCGTAGGTCCGTGAGCGACTTATTCCGCGAATGTGCACGTACTGGACCATCTTCTCCTCGTTGCGCGTGGTGCCATCTTCCCAGAGGGAACAGGAAAACAGACTTTCCACTTCTTCTAGAGTCTTCCCCTTTGTTTCCGGAAGAAAGAGGAAGAATACCACCCAACCCACGACTGCAAATCCCACGTACAGATAAAAGGTGCCTGAGAGAGAAACGGACTTTTAATTATTATTATTATTATTTTTTAGCATTACTAAATCAAAGGAAACTTGGCTCTCTTACCATATTTTGTGATGGCTTGGGTGAGAGTGAGAAACGTCATGGACACCAACAAATTAAACATCCAGTTCACCGAAGTGGCCAATGCATAACAAGTGCTTCTGGCCCACAGCGGGTAGATTTCGGAATTTATGGTCCAAGGCATTGGACCCATGCCTACAAAAGGAAAAAGATTTATTTTATTTTAAAAATAATATGCAATTCTTAATATTATTTAATAATGAAAAAAATCTTATCAAACATTTAAGACAAAGTCTCATAGAACAATTTCTGATAGAAAATTAAGAAAATATTTCAGATTCTTAAGGATTTCCAATAATTTGCAGGAAGAGACAGAAAGTTGACACAGAAATGAGCTCAATTTTCCAATACCTAAATACAAGTAAGGAGTCTGCAAACATCTTTAACAATACTATTTAATTAGCCCAATTAACTACAGTGAGTGATCGGTTTTTGTTTGGATTTACATTCCCAAAATTAGTGTTAGTTAATTAATGATAAACAAATAACTCACTATTAAATAATTTGATATTAAAGGTAAGTGTTAGGCACCATCTCTTATTAAATTTATTATTATAATAACTAATTAATTTAGAATATTCTAGAAGAAAAGAATCGGCTCGGAGCGAGAGACAACCTGCAATTGCCAGTTATCCTACCCGGACCCTGAGCGATTCTTTGCTTCCAGACATATAATTAATTATTGATATAACCGTCAATGGTCACTTGTGGTGCCAACTGGGGATGACTCCTATGCCTGTGACCTATATACTCACCCACTAAGGCACTCACAATTGCTTTACCCTGGCACAGTTTAGATATATATATATATATATATAAGATATACAGTAGAGCATCGATTTTCCGAAAGTCAATCATCCGAAAGAATTCCAGTCGGCAAATTAAAATTTTTGCCAGCACTGTGGCGCTGCAATCTTTGGCTATGTCTTGGGCTACTCAAATATTTTATGTTTTTGATACTAAATTAACATCCAAAGTATAATTTTTTATTATTTTTATATTTTTCAATATATTTATTTTGTTTGTACAAAATAAAAAAATAATTTTTAACGATACAATAGTCTTTGTTAGGCTTAACATCGACGAAAATTCAACGC